GCGGTCTATTAAGGGTTATTGCTTCAGTTTGGGCGCTGGAGCTGTGTCGTGGAGGTCTACACGGTCGTCGTCTGTGGGACAGTCCAGCACAGATGCAGAGATCTACGCCGGTGCCATGGCTGCGCAGGAGCTTCGCTGGTTGACCTTCTTGCTCACAGACCTTGGTGAGCGGTCGAGCTCTGCACCGACCTTGTTCACTGACAACAAGGCTATGACCCTCCTATGCCGAGAGCCTCGACAGGAAAGCAGAATGAAGCACATTGATGTGAGGTTTTTTTTTCCTGCGAGAGTTGCAGCGACGCGGCCAGGCACGCTTGGACTTCGTGGAGTCGGAGGCCAACACTTCAGACATCTTCACCAAGGCTCTATCGCCTGGTGACCACCACAAGTTCTGTCTGAAGCTAGGCCTTGTTTAGGCAGGTCCTCGATTGCTATAGGCTTGCCTCTTGTTTCTTGTTCTGTTTGTACTTGTATTTATATATGCTTGTGAACTCTTCAACTGGCCTTGTGGCCACTTGCATGTGCTTAGATTGCGTGGTAACATTGTGAACCACTCTGAGCTTTGTCTTGTTATTCTCTAAACTGGTCTTGTGACCATTTGTGTGCTCTGCTTGCTTTGATGCCCCTTACTTAGTCTATGGGGGTGTGTCAAACTATGTAATATGGTTTATAGGTTGTAGTGAGGCTCATCCTAGGGGGCACACAAAATACTCTCGATACTTTCTTGCACCCCTCCCCCTTTACCCTAACACATCATTCTCTCTACCGCTGTGACATAGTTGGTAAGAGAAACTTAACAAGTGCTGACAATTTGATATTTGAACCATTACGTATCGCATTAGACCACACCCAAACGTACGAAGAAAGTCGTATTGGGCAAGCACGCGAGCACGCCCGTGACCACAAAAACGATATTCCCTCCGACATCTGGGTAACCCCTACCCGCGTGAATCTTTTCACGCACGAAATGTCGAATTCAACTCAAACCTTAAAGCTTTAGTAAATTTTGTCACAAGTTTACTCAACTTGCAGGAATCTTAGCGCTTGGTCGTGGGGGGAGTGAATGCAAAATTAGTAATCTTGGGACTTCATCATCGTAAAGTAAACTGTGGGCTTTAAATCGCCAGCTGCGATACTACAGGTGAAGGCAATTGTTTTTATGTTGGAACACACGGGTCCCCTCTTGTCCGCGAGTGTGTTACGGCAAAATCCACTCAATGTGAACACCGCCATACAAACATAGACTCACGTTTGGTGAACACAGGACGTTTCATGCCTAAAACTTTTTGTGCAACAACACGAAAATACCTACGTCAATCACCAGTTGTGTGAACAGGTTGTCAATATCCAAGACCCACGGGAAAACTCGAGTTGCCTGCAAAAATGTACTTGTCCTCAAAACAAAAACATTCCGGTGCACGGGAGGAAATGGGGTCGGGATTCCTAACGCGGGAACACATTTGAGAAAATGAGTAGTACGAAAATTATACACGTTACTAATTCTTGGGCGACCTCGTGAGTAGCACTTACAATCACGCAGCAGCAAGTGCATGAGCCTGCGAAGTTCTTAAACCAAAACAGCGGCTGGCATTATTTGAGGTGCGAATTTTCGTGCTCAGTGCATGAAGTCGAATACTTCGCGGAACCGTGGGCAGATGGGGAAGCAGTAGTATTTCACTATTGCACGAGTGAAGCGAAATGCAAATAAGGCAACCGAGTGCCCAGGACTAGCCGTGTGGTTTTGCCGGCGTGCCCCGCGTGGGGACACCATAACCCTCACCCTATTATGGGGCCCTGGTTACGGAGGCCCGCGTGGGATTGCGGACTGTTTTTCCTCGGGCTTAACGAGGCTCTGAAGGTGGCGGGTGGTGCGGTGGCGCCTCGGGTGTGGTTCGAGGCGAAATTATAGGTCGAGCCCAACTGATGCCAGACCCTCGGAACATACCTGCTTAGGTCAGCCCACAGTAAGGAATAAGAGTTCATTACACCGTCTTTCCAAACGTGGCTGGACGATATGGGTTGTTACGTTAAATTTCTTGAAACAATATGGATACGCATCAAAACGAGCTCAGTGAAAAATGATTCAATACATAATTATCTTGGCTTAAAACCGTACCCAGCCTCATATAACACCGTACCCAGCCTCTACACCAGCATATCCACTAAGTAGCCGCACCCGCCAAGGGAGAGTTTCACCCACCTGACGATTTTTTGTGGAACCTAGAAAGTCTCCCAAGAATTTTCTTTTATCTTCTAGGAAAAATGCTGTGGCATAAATCATTATGATTGAAAATCAGACATGAAAATATGAAGGGTCTAAACATTCAAATGAAGTCATAAAATTTGTTTCTTTGTTAGAAAATCAGACCAAGTTGGTTTTAAAAAAATTCAAAGGGCGTGTTTCAAGGAGTCATATTCAGAAGAGGCGGAGATTTGAAGAAAGTACACCGAAACTGCTATAATTCCACACCCCGTACGCTTCCTTGGCTAGACACCCTATATGGTTTTCGGTTCGACTAGACGGGCACCCTGGCATTACAGGTCTATAAATCAATACGATAACCAGAAAGCTAGACTCACGAAACTCGCGCTTTACAGTAAGATTGAGTGGGAAATCACCTCTGCCATCTTTGTACGTCCGGAAAGCTCGCGACGAGATTGCGTCATTGTAACCCCGATAAATCGAATCATGATGCTAACCACCCTCAAAATCAAATTTGATGAGGGAGATTACCCATGGGCATGAGACAACAGGTGTGGAATTATGGCAGTTTCGGTGTAGAAAATTTTACTGTATTCTTACTGTAGCCCGAAATTATCTTTGTGAAACGGCTCGGCTGGTTCGACCTAGGTTATCGCCCCGAACCACTCCCGAGTCACCTCCGCACTCTTCGCCAACCACCCGAGCCTGATAAACCATTGCCTAGCTAGACTTCTCGCTATTTAGTCTCGTCACCCTTCATTGTATCGTCAATCTGATTAGTCACAGTTTCGTTTCTCATTACTTCCGTGCACTATTAGATAACATAAACTCCAGTTCTCAACGAAATCTGTTTTGATGTTAGGCCCGCTGGCCTAAGTCCGCTAAAGAATTAGCGGGGTCGACTAAGTCGAGGATGAAACGCGGCGGAAGACTTTGGCGAAAGAACTATTGGCGAAATAGGCGAAGAAGTTACTGAGTAATTGAAGAAGAGTTGAATGAGAATTGGTTGATATGAGGGAATACAAGCAAGGTTTATATAGCATGCAAGAAGGAAAGTTGGAAAGTAGAATGTGGGACTAGGAATTGGAAGGCAAACAAAGTAGAGTGCCACGTGGCACTAGGAAATCTAAGAAGATAGGGATAAAGGTGAGCTGGAAAGTATTGTTCAAAGTGAACAGTAAATCCTCCCTTAACACTACCCCCCTCCCAAGGAGGCGACGTCCGCGGCGCCTGCAGACTGAAGGTATGCTCGGTGGCAAGCGTTGTCGGGAGACAGCGAGGACGAAGGAACCCAGCTGTCGTCGGCTGCATCGTAACCACGCCAACGAACCAAGAAGTCGATGAAAGAGACACCCCCCTGGAGACGGCGACGGTGCCTGAGGATGCGCTGGATCTGGTAGTCGGGCTCGTCGGTGTCAACAGCTACCGGCAGTGGAGTGCGATCACGGCCCGAGAAGGTGGCGTTGGGATCGGTGTAAGGCCGAAGGAGAGACACGTGGAATGATGGGTGCATGCGGAAATGAGCGGGAAGGCGGAGGCGGTATGCGACTGGACCAAGTGCGCGCTCAATGACGAATGGACCAATGAAACGTGGGCGAAGCTTGCTGTCCTGTGGCAGTCGGAGGTTGCGGCTATCGAGAAGGACACGGTCACCGACTGCGAACGACACCTCACGACGACTGCGGTTGGTGGTGCGTGCCATGCGTGCATTTGCGAGCTCAAGGTGCTTCCTCACGTGATCATGAATGAAAGTGAGATGCTGGTGGAAGTTGTCCGCACTAAGGACGGTGGGTGTAAGATCGACACGAGTGGGGACATTGGGGTGCTGACCGTACAGTGCGAAGAACGGTGACATGCCTGTGGCGGAGTGGTGCGTGTTGTTGTATGCGAACTCTGCCATGCTCAGCTTCTTAACCCATACTGCTGCATCGTGCATCGTGATGCTACGAAGAATCTGCTCCAAGGTCTGATTCACGCGCTCGGGCTGTCCGTCTGTCTCTGGATGGTACGCAGACGACATGGCTAAGCGAGTCCCAAACAGTGCGAAAAGCTGCTTCCAGAACTTCGAGGTGAATCTAGGGTCGCGGTCTGAGATGATGGAATCTGGAACCCCGTGCAGTCGGACTACGTTATCTACGAACAACGTCGCGGCTTCCTCTGCTGTGACCTGACCGTGCGTGGGGATGAAATGCTCTTCTCGAGAAAACTTATCCACTACAACGAAGATGGCGTCGTGACCCCTAACTGTGCGCGGTAATGCCATGATGAAGTCCATCGTAACTACCTGCCAAGGGCGGTCGGGCGGTGGAATCGGCTGCAAAAGACCTGCTTTGCGCTGGCGGGAAGACTTCGTACGCTGACACGTGTCGCACGAGCGAATGTAATCCTCTACGTCCGCTGCGAGCCCTGGCTTGTAGTACGTGCGACTAAGCGTCTTAGCCGTCTTGTCTGCTCCGAAGTGACCTGCACTAACTACATCGTGCGCCTCTGAGAGAAGGAGCTGTCGAAGAGGGCGGTAGGCTGGAACCCAAATCCGTGTGGTGCCCTTCCGTATGTAAACACTACCCACCCTGTACCTCTGCTCCTGCGGGCGGCTGCGGTGTGAAGTCGGGATCTACTGTGTAACCGTGCTCGAAGAGTGCTGTGAGAAGTGGATGGCCTGCAGTGACTGTGAGACTAGCGAGCTGACAACTAGGGCGAGTGAGCGGATTTGTTGGGTTGCGCTCGCCTGGCTTGTACTCTATCCTGTAATGGAAACTCCCCTCCATGAACTCCATCCATCTAGCCTGGCGACGACTCAGCTGCGGTTGAGAAAGCGAAGCGAGCAATGGTCCGTGCGTATAACACTGTCTGCCCCCTCTAGGTAGCACCTCCATACCTTATACGCATGGATGATCGCGAGCGCCTCCTTGTCGTGTATAAAATAGTTCAACTCCGCTCCCCTCAGCTTACGCGACTCGTACGCGATCGGCTGCAACCCGCGTCCCTGGTCCTGAAGAAGTACTGCTCCTATGGCCTGATCTGAAGCGTCGGTCACTACAACGTATGGGCGAGTGGGATTAGGGTATGACAGTGTCGGTGAAGACGTGAGCGACTGCTTCATCTGCTCGAACGCCTGCTGCTGCGCTGGACCCCAAACGTACTCTACGCCTTTCCGAAGTAGGTCGGTGAGTGGACTAGCGATCGATGCGTAACCCTGAACGAAACGGCGGTAATAATTGGCGAATCCGAGGAAGCTCTGCAACTCCTTGACTGAGGTCGGTGCTACCCAATCCTGTACTGCTGCGATCTTCTTCGGGTCGGTCCTAACGCCACTAGCGGGTATGACGTGTCCTAGGAACTTGACCTCAGGGAGAAAGAACTCGCACTTCGACTGCTTCGCGTACAGCTTCTCCCTCCGCAAGACCTCAAAGACCCTCTGCAAGTGCTGCACGTGCTCCTCTTTCGACTTGGAGAAGATCAAGATGTCGTCTAGGTAAACGACAACGAACGAACCTAGGAACTCGGAGAGGACGGTGTTCATAAGCGTCTGGAACGTCGCTGGGGCGTTGGTCAGTCCGAACGGTAGAACCCTAAACTCGTACAACCCCTGATTCATGCGAAACGCCGTCTTGTGCTGGTCCTCTGGAACTACGCGAATCTGGTGGTAACCCGAACGAAGGTCGATCTTGGAGAAGACTCTAGCGCCCTGAACTGAATCTAGAAGATCCTCTACTCTCGACACCGGGGATCTGTTCTTGACGGTGGCGGCGTTCAGTGCGCGGTAGTCTATGCACATCCGTAACCCTCCGTCTTTCTTAGGCGCGAAAAGGATCGGTGCGGCCCAAGGCGATCTAGATGGCTGTATGAACCCCTGTGCGAGAAAGTGCCTAACCTGCTGCGTCATCTCCTCTGTCTCTGCTGGACTCAACCTCTACTTCGGCTTCGCTACTGGCCTGCTCCCCGGCTCTAACTCGATTTGATGGTCTACTGCTCGACTGGGAGGTAACCCTGGGGGCAACTCGTCGGGGAAGACGTCTGCGAACTCTGCTAACAGTGCACTCACCTCAGCAGGAAGAGTCGCCTTCTCACTAACTGCTGCGCTCCCTCCTTTCCCCTCCTCAGCTTCCACCTCCTCAAGAAAAAAACGCGAAGATCCGTGCCGCTCGCTTCACCAACTGTCGCACACGAACAACATTGATGATAGCTGTGGATGATGTGGCCCCATCGCTCCACTGTGGCAGCTCCCGGAACTCGCCATCTACCTTGACGCTGCAGCTTCCCTGAGCCCAATCGAACTGAGTCGAAACCGTCCGCAACCAATCACTACTGAAGATGAAGTCGTAGCTGTCCAGCGTCGCAGAGTCGAAATCACGCCTAACTGTGATCGGTCCTAGCACTACGCGCAACTTGCGAATGATTGGTCCTATGTGGAGAGGCGTCCCATCTATCATACGTGCGTCCTTGAAGTTGACTGAGGAATCTGCTTCAAGATGGAGACGGCTAACTAATGAAGACGAAACGAACGAGTGGCTAGCTCCGCTATCGACGAGAATCTTAACAGGAACTCCGCGAAGCTTCCCTAGAAGCACGACTGGTCGGTCAACAGTGTCTACCTCGTTCTCCGTAGATGACTGCTGCGAGGTCGTCTTCTCTACGTTGGTAGACGTGGCGGGTACGGGAACCTCCACACCAGCTAGCGACCCGCTATCTACTGGCGGTTTCCGTTTCCCTGCTGCCGCTCCTTGAACTGTGGGCAGTCCCGCTTCATGTGTCCCGGCTTTTTGCAGTAGTGACAGTTCCCCCTAAATCCTGTGCGCTGTGAGCCGTCACTGTTAACTGCACCAATCTCCATGGGCGACGGTCCGTCCCTCGATCGAGCGTCGTTGACCGGATTTCTGTATCCCCTATCGCAATCGTCACGACCCTGTTGGCTTCGTACTGCGTCGACGCGTTCTGCTGCTGCGACAACTGACTCGAAGGTGGACAACCCGTGAATCGCAATAATCTCCGCTATGTCCGGCTTCAACCCTTCGAGGTAGCGATCGCGCATCTCTGCTTCCGTGATGTCGTCTATCTCGTTGCAGATGCTCAAGAACCGTCGTGTGTACTCCTGGACGTTGCCTATCTGTCGGAAATGACGCAGACGCTTCCTAGCAGCTTCGGAGGCATTCACCAAATCGAACCTACTTTTCAGCGCCGCTTCAAATCCTTCCCATGTCGTCGGAACCGTGGTAACACCCAAAGCTAAACTCCCTAAGCTCGAAGTTGCAGCTGCATGCCCCATGCCCTATTGATGCCCGTCTAACTGAGCCCTCCGTACAGCAGTCTGCGTAAGTTGGCGCTGTCAAACATTATATATGTTGCGTTTGTTAGGCTACAGTGGGTTAGCCTATATGGGGTACACAATTCTAGGGTTTGCCATTTTGTACTGATTTCTCTGTTAGTTCAATCATTCCAGTCCGTTCATTCTGACATGGTTTCAGAGCAGGTCCTTCGCTAGGACCGTTCTTAGGGCCCACCGCTACCTACCTACCTACCTACCTGCGCCTTAGAGCGCCTCGGTTCTTACGGCCCCTTAAGGCCTCGCGCCCTCGTGCGCCTTTCCCCACCACGCGCGCGCGACCCGCTAGCTACCCGCGCGCGGGTCCTTTTTTTTTCGCGCGCGCGGCTCTGTTTCTTGCGCGCGCGGCCCGCTAGTTGCGCGCGTGGCCCGCTAGTTGCGCGCGTGGCCCGCTAGTCGCCCGCACGCGGCCCGTCAGCCCTTCGCGCGGCCCCTGCTGCTCGCGCGCGCCCCGCCGTGACCCCGCAGGCCCGCAGCTCGCTGCCGCAGCTGTCGCCCGCCCGTCACCCGCAGCCGCCCGTACGCCACTGCCGCTGCTGCTTGCGCACCACCCACTGTCGTTGCCGCTGCTGTGCCGCCGCCACTGCCGCCCGTGCGCCGCTGCCGCTGCTGCACGTGCGTTACTGCCGCTGCCGCCGCCGCTGCAGCTCCCGCCCGTGCGCTCGCTACCGCTACTCCCGCCGCCCGCTGCAGCTGCCGCCCGTGCGCTACCGCCGCTGCCGCCCGTGTGCTGCTACTGCGGCCGCCATTACCGCGTTGCACTGCCGCTACTGCCCGTGCGCCAAAGCCGCTGCCGCCCGTGCCGCCACAGTCTCCCAGCGGCCTCGTTCCTACTGTTTACCTTATACCTACTACTACCGCTCGTGTGCCACTACGGACAGTCGACCCGCCCGCGCCTTGCCTAGCGGCCCCGCCGGCCCCGTTGACCCTCCGCACACCTTTCCAGCGGCCTGATTCCTACTGCTACTGTCACTATGGCTAGTCCGCCAGTTCTAGCTTTCGATGCCGAGGGCCGTCCAGTGAAGTTCGAAACCTGGCTCGATGACCTGCACCTGTTCCTACAGCTCACTGCCAAGGAAGATATCTCACTGTACGACCACGCCCTAGGCCATGCCACTGCCCCTGACTCGTCTGCTGACAGCACTCTGCGTTCCCAGTGGCAGACCCGTGATGCGCACGCTCGCTTTGCTATTCGCAACTCCCTGCCGCTAGACGAGCGCGAGCACTTCGGCCAGTGCAAGACTGCTAAGGACCTCTACACCGCTGTAGTTGCCCGCTACTCCTCACCCGCCTCTGCCACGCTAGGCCGCCTCACTCTCCCCTACCTGTTCCCCGACCTAGCCTCCTTTCACACTGTCGCAGACCTCATCACCCACCTTAAGACTAGTGAGGCCCGCTTTCGCGCTGCTATGCCTACCGAGTTTCTCACTAGCAACCCCCCCCCGCTCTGGATCACTCTCTACCACATCGTCACCCGCCTCCCTGACTCTCTGCGCGCAGTCAGGGACCACTTCCTCTCTCGCTCCCCCACTGAGCTCACTGTTGCCCTCCTCGAGAAGGAACTGCTTGCAGTCGAGACGAGCATAGTCGCTGTAGGCACCTCTCGTGGCGACCCCCGCACCCCGTTCTTTGAGGGGTGTTCCCCTTCCCCCCTCCTCCCCTCTGTCGCCTCTGCTGCTGCTGTCGACCTTCTTGGTGCTGAGAAGGTCGGGACCGCGTCTGCTTCGAGCGGGCGCCGCAGGAACAAGGGCGGCCGGGGTGGGGGTGGCGGCGGAGGAGGTGGGGGTGGAGGCGGTGGGAGTGGAGGCGCGGCTGGGGAGACTAGTGGCGGCAGTGGGGGAGGAGACAGCAGCGGCGGGAGTGGTGGTGGAGGCGGCAGCGGAGGCGGAGGTGGTCGTGGCGGTGGCAGGAGTGGAGGTGGCCGGGGCGGCGGCGGTGGGGGTGGTGGTCGTGGAGGCACTGGCGGAGGGCAGAGTCAGCAGCCCGCCCCGACGCTTCAGGCCGCCCGTGAGTGGTATGCGCAGCGTAGCGTTACCTGCACGTACGTCATTCGCACAGGTGACCGCAGCGGCCAGCAGTGTGGGAGGCCACACCCCACGCAGCGCTGCTTCGCGCACCTTAACGACGCGTGGCGCACTCAGTTTCCTGCTGCCACTGAGCTGCCGCGCTGGGCTGATCTGGAAAAGAGGGGTGTTGATATTTGGGCTTTAGACTTTGATGCTATTCTCACTGCCATGTATGCGATGTCTATTAGTGGAGAGGGTGCTCAGTACTTGCGTGTTCCGCCCGACCCGGGCATTCAGGCCAGTCCGGCTGCCGCTCTAGGTGCTAGTGCGTCTGCTCCCACAGGTCCTGGTGAGGTCGCTGCTCTAGGTGCTCGTGCGTCCGTGCCCCCTGGTACTGAGTCGACTGCAGCACTGCACACCTTCACACTGGACTCAGGTGCTTCTCGCTCCTTCTTTCGTGACCGCACTGTCCTTGAGCCACTCGCTCGGCCAGTTGCTGTCTCCCTTGCTGACCCCTCTGGGGGTCCGGTCATTGCGACCTCCTCCACTGTCCTTCCTTGTCCGGCGGTCCCGTCCGGCACGCTGTCAGGTCTCTACCTCCCCTCGTTCTCTACGAACTTGGTGGCAGGTAGTGCGCTCCAGGACGGGGGTGTTCACCAGTTCACCCCTGCCTACGAGCGCGTGACACATTGCACGTGTGCTCGGACGGGTTGCCACCTGGCTACCTTCACTCGGGAGCCGGGGTCGGACCTTTACACACTGACCACTGTGTCCCCTCAGGTAGCTGCGTCTGCGTCTGCGTCTGCGTCTGCGTCAGGTCAGCTGTCCGCCCCCTGCTCGTGTCGCTCTCTGGCACATGAGACTGTCCTTTGGCACCACCGCCTTGGTCACCCGTCTGTGCAGCGCCTTCGGGCCATGCACAAACGGGACCTTGTTGCTGGTCTTCCCAGGGTGCTCCCTCCCCTTCCCGACTCGCCTGCTCCTCCCTGTATTCCCTGTGTCGAGGGGCGGCAGCGCGCCGCTCCTCACTCCTCCTCCTTTCCCCCGACGACTGCTCCCTTGTAGACGCTCCACTTGGACGTGTGGGGCCCAGCCCGCGTCCGTGGACAGGGTCAAGAGCGGTACTTCCTGCTCGTTGTTGACGACTTCTCGCGCTACACCACGGTCTTCCCCTTGCGAGCCAAGGGTGACGTACCTGATGTCTTGATCCCTTGGATCCGCAGATCTCGTCTCCAGCTCACCAGGCGTTTCCGCTCCGACTTTCCTGTCCTGCGTCTGCACTCTGACAGAGGTGGGGAGTTTTCCTCTGGCCTCCTGGAGGCCTTCTGTCAGCAGGAGGGCATTGAGCAGTCGTTCACGCTTCCGGCCTCTCCACAGCAGAATGGGGTTGCTGAGCGCCGCATTGGTCTAGTCATGGAGGTCGCTCGTACCTCCTTGAGTCATGCGGCT